TGCGTCATTCGTACTCTTGTATTGCAGCTCAACCAATGATGACCGTTTATGAGGCGAATGGCTTGAAAATCATTTTCGAGTTTGATCCAGCCGAAAAGCATGCTGACGGATCTCGCGGACCTATCAACATTCGGTTGGTGGCTAGCGCGACAAACAGCACTACACCGATCGATGCATTTGAGTTCCAAGCTGCTGTGCCAAAGTCTTGCCAGTTGCAGCTTCTCCCTCCTTCAGGCACCTGTACACGCTTTAACGGCCCACCCATCACACAGTTGCTCAAGCTGACCACTCCACCTAAAGTGAGCTGCTTCTGACTGTATTTGCCACCTTATAACTGGACTCACCACAACAATCTAGACGTGCAACTGCTATTTCGAAGTCTGTACTCGTCATTGAGTTGATTAAAATTTTAAATGACTAAAGGCATATGATTTATTAGGGTGAAGGTAATTATTCTGAAATACTCCTTCCGTTGGAATTTGAACGAGTTGCATGTTAGCTATTCAGTTTCCTTACCCAGTTTGTATTCGGGAATGATAGAGTACGGTTGTTAACTGATAAGTTGTGTTGTAACTGACAGCATCAGCAAAACAGGAAACAAACGAAGTGCGGTCGAATAATTCAGTGGAAACAGATAGATAACAGAGGTAAAATTTTGTGCGTAGCATGAATTTGAATAAACTTGGTTTCATAGACTTTCTTTATAAAGCTGAACATAGTACGGACTTCTAAGCTTACGTACTTCACACATGTTTAAATTCAAACTGTGCGTCAAAAAAATCATGGTAAAATAATTTTCGTAAAAGAGGAAAGCTCCCTGATTCAATTATGGGCAGGATACTCCGCGGCTTTGGGAATCCACTGCTTGTGCCATTGACTAGTCTGAGCCCGACTCAAGGTAACGGAGTGGCATGTGAGAATCACAATCCTAAGGTACCGGTGTCTAATTGGTTGGATCTTTTGTCCATTGGACGGGCTCAAACATCCAAGGTCTGCATTATACCTTGTTCCCAAATTAGGCGTGATCACTGTCACAACCATAATGATGTTTGTGATTCGTATGCTTCTTGGTTAGTTCGGAATCACGGTTTTTAGCTAACTTGCCTGAATTAACTGCCTCGGTTATAGCCCTGAATGTTTGCCTTTCATCTTATCACTTTGGTTGGAAAGCACCATCACGAGACGGTAGTGAGTAGGGTTTCATCAGTGGAGGCTGTTTGAGACACCTAGTCGTTGGAGAGCATTTTGCAAGGTGCAAAGGAAGGGTGACCAACCACAATCGGAGACCCACCCTGATCATACTTCATAACCTGATATAATTATTGTTAGTATGGAATCTTGCAGAAAATTATTTTACCTGAATTTCACACTGGAAATCTATCCTAATGATCGAATGGCTCGCAAATCTCGAAGCGAACAGTGACGAGATTACCTTGAAATGCGGTGCTATTATGAGCAACGAATGGTTACTATAAAATAAGTACAAACCTTGAATCGTGGAGCGAATCGTGAAAACGGTAGAGGTTTACAGTTAAATCGACATACTAAAATTACCCTTCAGATGCTCTCAAAACATTCGACCCAACAACTGCGGGTGCGTGCACTGCATGCGAAGTCAACGATCAGAATGCCTTAGGTGGCAAGCACCATGCACAAGGGTACCATGGCTGACAGTCAGCCAATCAACTGCACGGGAGCGAAATGCCAATCACGTGAGGGACGGGAACAAGGTACCTGTGTTCGTGTGCATGTGTCGATCGGTGAACCACAGTGGATGCCAAACGGGTTACGAGTAAGGCGAGCGTGTAGTGGTGGGAGCGAGCAACGAAATGACGATGATACGGGTCACAGGTGGGTGAACACAGTCGGTTCGATCAATGGCCCCGCTGGCTCAATTCAGGCATTGCACATTTAGTAATAAAAGGAAGAAATGACATGAACTAAGGGATGATGAAAGATGGCTGTGGAAATATACTTGTCATTTGGTGTATGACTAAGACAATTTTGTTTAGAGAGCGAAACGAATTCACCAGTTACAAATCAGACACCTTTAGAAATTAATTTTACGAAATGCTATTTCGATTCGGGAATTTGATGAATAAGTTTATTCAAGTAATTGCATGCGCATCACAAAATGGATTTTCGAAAATCCGCAGGATATGTTAATTGTATGTTGACCTATGCAATGCAATGCTCTTCACTCCCTACTAAGTTTCCTTTTAACTGTTTATGCACTCCGCGCAAGTCGTAATCTGGTAATAAATAATCAGTTATTCATCCGTCACTCGAAAATGCCATCTTATTTCCGGCCAAAACCAGACAACAACCAGTCGGTGTTTGATGTTCTCGTGACTCATAACGTGAGCGGTGTATTTCGAGCCACTTATCAATCGCTTTTCCTCCTTGAACGTATCATGGAGTTGACTTCTTGAATGTATGTTTTGCTCATATACAATTTTGAAGTTGTATTGGGTGTCTCTTTATCATTTCCTTTCAGTTTGCACCTCGAATGCGNACGGGATCCCTAAAACTGACCAAGTTCAATTAGATCAATTCCCTTCCTGTGTATGGTAATAATGTAATGCGATGATACACCGAATTCCCCAAGACCATATTCATACTGAATGCGCTTTAACACATGCTGGTACACGGTCGGCGAATATGTGCAAGTTCTCTGCTGAGTGATTCATTGCGTTTGTGCGCTTGTTTCATAAGGAGTCCTTTTCTACCCCGTTCACAACTTGAACGCATTCCGCTTCGTGCCTCTGTCTGTGTTCGTGACCGATTGATGTGATCCTGTCTCAGTTCCCCTTTCACGATCCTGCTCACACATCATGGACAGTTTTACTTCGCTCATCCAAATGCACACGAACCTGTCCTCATTCGTAATCAGCGGTCTCATTGGAGACCATGTGCCCATCTACCATATCAGTCTGTTCGCTTTGCGGCCAGACACTTCTCAGTTTCTTGTGTCTCGTCCATCTCTCGAGTTCGGATCCTTCCCGCATCGTTCTGTGAGCCTTTTCGGCACTGTTGTTGTGATCTCGTTACCGCGTACTTGGTTCTTTTTCTTCTGCTCTGTATTCCCTTTTCAGATGTCCCACCTCACTTCCTTTTCTCGTTTTTCCCTTCTGTCCTCACTAATGATTTGTTTTTACGCTCTATGTCTATTGTTTTCTTCCATAATTCTTCCCCATTTATACAAACAGTTCTGCCTGACCATTGCTGTCAGTCAATCAGTTTCTGATTCACTCATTCACCCTCCCACTCGCTTACTCTTTTGGTGACATTTTATCAGGCTGTTTTACAGTTCATCCTTGGGTCATTTTTGTTCATTGTGCGTCTTTTGTGCACGCCTCCCCCGGTCGTCCATCTTTGTCTTTATTTAAGTGTGTGCGAATATGCACGGTTACAAGAACTATCGTGTCACCGCAAGGATAGACCAACCTGATCCTAATATCTGTTGTACAGCGTTTTCTCTACCTCTACTAAATTTCCTTCCAACCCTTATCTGCCTTGTACCCGATTCTCACTTAATTCTCTATACCGTATCCTTCAAAAAAGTTCTGATTGGTTAAGTAGGATCTGGAATCAATTTGAAGTGGTTTTTTATTGTGACTCTGTTTCTCAGTTGTCATTTTGTGTGTCCGTGTACGAATGTTCGCATTAATCCACTCTTCTCTGTCCTTTCCACCTTTTCCGCCTTCAACGTGATCATTCAAAACGGGTATCGATCTGTGCCAATTAGAAACTAGCGGTTTCAAAGAATCATCCGCCCATGCCTGCAGATCATTTTTGTGAACAGTCTCGTTTGCCTCAATTTTAGGCGCCCAATACCTGAAAATGGGTTTTTCTTTATTTGTTCGTTTTTATTTCATCAGCGTAACTGTTCTTCGGACTTCATCTGTAGGTTGCCCTCCACCTTTTCGAACCATTTTCTTTCAGTGTTCTGACAAATTGCCATATCCTCTGCCGGGCAATTAGTCGAATTTGACTCTTTTTGATCTGGTCCCTTTACCTGCATCCTTCTACTGATCCTGGTCGACGTTTCACTGTTCCCAATGCACCAACAATGCAGGGTGAGATCCCATTAAGGAACGTGTTTTATCTAATATAGTTAACCGAATGTCATGCTAAATCTGACGAAAGGCGTTCTCGCATAACGACGATTGCTGCTTCTCTTACTTGAGATGTGATTTCTTCCACTTTAGTAAGTCTTAATGAAGTACTTATCGTTCAGCCTGCAGACAATAATTAAAACAAAAGAGCGCATAGTTCACTTCTTCCATGGACCCGGATTTAAAAGGTTTCAAAGCTTCTTTATTTTTTGGTTAGATTTCTAATTCTGTGTCATGGAAAAGCCGTGCATGACGATTGAGGAATACGATCGGCTCTGTAATTAATTTGTTAGATGATTGTTTAATGGAAACAAGGAAACATTCGCTCGTTCAATCGCATTTTTAATTCGGTCTTTCGATGAAAGACTGAAATGACGTCTACGCCACAAATGACTCAAGTTGGAAGACGCACCAGGGTTTTTACCAGATACTAGTTAATGCCTCATCTGTCAATGCTGTTGTACTAATTCAATTCCCACGGTTGATCAAATGACCAGCGAATCCTAATTGTCAACTTGTCGTTCTTTGCACCTTGATGAAAGAAATTTCATTGCAACCACGATTATATTTCCAGGTCGAATAAAATATATTAAGCATCTTGAGAGGAGTCTCAGATTATGACAGTATTTTCTCACCCCAGATAACAAAACCGATTTCTTGAGGGTAGTTCCACGTGAAAATTATGGCAGTTTTCTCGAGAACGATTTGAAGTTGATCCCGCAAAATTGATCAGGTGGAGTAAGGCCAAATAACTCTGTGATACTCTATTTTGTGTTGATAGGTTTAATCTCTCGTCGTGGAAAGCTGCAGAGGTAGTAGCCTAATTCGTGAGCCAAGCTTTGTTTATCTGACCAATCCTGCCGCCACGGCAACCGCAGTTGGTCGTTCTTTTCGAGCCAAGGGTTCACGAAATATTTACACAGCTGGTTCATCTTCCGGTGATTGAGACACTTTGTCCCGTCGGTCCACAGATTCTATTTCAAACGTCCTAAAAATGTTCCACTTGACCTCGGTCATAGATGTTAGGCAGTTAACGGAACCCGACTGTGCTATAGGTTCCTGCCTTGGTCCGAATAACAAACAACCAAAGACAACCTTCATTGCAAACGGTTGTTTTGATTTTCCAACTCCGCGATCTAGGTACTAGTGGGGTTTTGGTGTATTTGTACCGATGAGGATCCCTACCTACGAGTCTA